CAGTTACTGTTTATTGAGCAGAGTTATTAAGGATTTCTGTTTGTGACTTAATCCTTAACATCGAGGAGAAACTATAATCTCCTCGGTATCGTTAAGTACAGATCGAGGAAGGGAATTTTCTGATTATGACTTAATCCTTAACATAGAGGAAAGACTACAATCTCCTCGGTAAACAGGAGCCTTGAGCCATAAAATTGCCCTTTTGGCACTTAGGAAACTACCTAAAAGTGAAATGCGGAGGGTCTGACGCGTTCTTTTGTTCCTCGATCTGCCGACTGTCGACAAAATATTATTGAGATCCTTCGAAGTCGAAATATTAACGTAAACATGTATATCACACAATATTATTAACTATTTTTGAATATATATACAATTAAAATAAACATTTCTTAGTAAGGCAATTAGACAATTAGAAAGCGTACCACTAATTCGGGTTCAAATTAACGGAATTGCACATGGACGGACAAAGAACAATGGAGTGATCCAGTACAAATAGAATATAAAGTAAATACCAATTTCTGTATACAGAGAACGCAAGCGTTTTTTAGGTCGTAATAAATTCGATCTTGCCTCAATTCGAAAAGAATTCAACTCAATCTTTATTTCCGTAACCTCGTTTCTCCTCATATTCGAAGCTCATTTATATAGAGATTCACTTAAGAAATAGTGATAATTATTAACGATACGGGTGCAAACATTTCGTAATATTGGCTGGTCTTCATAACGTATTTGCTAGCGTTGAAATGATTCTTTCGTTCTCTTGTAAGTGCATGTTAACGTTGAATTACCGAGGTACGCCGAAACCTGGGCCGTGAGCATTCTCATTACCTCTCTGTCCTTATTTAACGCCTTGCGAAAAATCTGAGAAAATTCTGACATGTTCGTAGTGTACCTGTACATGTCTGAGAATTTTTTCAGATTTTTCCCTTGCAAAACGTAGCCGTAAAGAATAAAAGAGTGTTAAAAATAATATTTTCACATAGAAATCTTGAGGCGACTACATTTATATTTTTATGGTAGATTCGTATCGTCGCAAGGATTATTCATGAATTTTTTCAGATTTTTGGGATTGGTGTAATAAAGATCCAAGCCTTGTTTTTTTTTACATGGGGAAATTTTCAAAAGATTTGGTATTTGCAGACAATAATAGAAAATAACCATGACGCGGAAAAAGACAGGGACACGGTCAGTTGTCTTTTTTTCTCACCCTTGATCTGAGCTTAAGGATACCGAGGAGATTATAGTTTCTCCTCGATGTTAAAGATTAAGTCATAAACAGACCAAAACCTGAGAACACAATTGTCCTTTTTTCCTTCCCTCGATCTGTACTTAAGGGTACCGAGGAGATTATAGTTTTTCCTCGATGTTAAGGATTAAGTCATAAACAGGAATCCTTAATAACTCTGCTCAATAAACAGTAAATGTGAGAATAAAAATATATATATTAAGAAAAATATGTTCGATGACAGGACGCTTTAAAGTGAAAAGATTATTTTCAGCACTTTCTTATTTTGCAAGGGAAAAATCTGAAAAAATTCTCAGACATGTACAGGTACACTACGAACATGTCAGAATTTTCTCAGATTTTTCGCAAGGCGTTAAGTAGGGAAAAAGTTCAAAAACTTGATTTTTCGAATTTTCCCGATTACTACCCCCCTGGTTGAGATATAGGACTAAAAATTGGAGTGAATGTTTCTTGATAAGCTATCGAATGGCGCAAACGGCGTTTCATTCGGCTCAAGGGTACGTTTGACCCTTTTATCCAACTAGGCCCTTTCTAAAAATTTCTTATTCATCTGCGATACACGCGTAGCGTCGCGCGCATCACGTGACAAGGATCGCCTGCTAAAGGAGAGTCGAGGGGAATCGAGCTAATATGCTAGCGGAAGGGGTACTTAGGGGACCATCGTGGGGGAAGCGTCGTGCGCTTTTCTGGCAACTATGTTCCTCAGTTATGTAGGGTGTGCAGACTTGTCTATAAGATCATCGCCGAATCAATTGGATTTATAAAATTGTCAATAACACAAAAAAGTTATCGATACGCAATGCGCCATTACGTCCCGACAATTAACGGTCATTTTCATTATTTCTGCACGATGTAAGATGTAAGATGCAGGCCAACTTCAGAACAACGTCGAAAACATGAATTATACACGTAGAATAGAGAGAGAAGACATATTTCCCATTCGATTGGTTCTTCGTCGGCGCGCTTCCCACCATCTCTGTTCACACTCATTTCAATGATGGTGGGGGTCAAAGAGGGACTCGTACCGGCGGCGGCGCCTGCAGTCGCAGTGACCGGCTAGTCACAGAGGATTTAGCCTCTGTAGCTTGTGTTTGTTAGCTCCCGAGTGTCGAAAACGTGGACACGAAGAAGTACGATCATAAACGATACACGGGGGTGATTCCTGTCGTCGAAGTATCATAGGACACGTATTGTTCCTACATACACAGAACCGTCGCGTCTGCCTTTACTGTCGGTCACGCGCTTTGCCTTCGTCCGTCTGCCTATCCTCCTCTCCACGCGTCCGTCTCTCTTGAACCAACGCGTGCGACAGATCAGTACGGTATACACGGTGTGACAGCGATCGACTGGCTACGACACTGTACGAACAACCCTTGCGCTCTTTTTTTCCAAGGCTCACGCGGTTTTCCATGTCAACGACACGCGCGCTCCTACCAAGGCCAGCGTGCTACGCCCCGCAGCGCAAAGCAGCCTCCGTCGCCGTCATCGTCGTCGCTGGCGTGAAACGCACGCTCCACGTAGCCGTGCCCGTCACCGACGGCCCGTTATTGTCCGTGTCGCGTCGGTGTCGGTCGTCAGACATCTGCTCGTCGTCGTCTGCGTATTCGGCTACGAAGAGGCCCGGCGAGCATCGAGGCTCGTCCACGGCTGTCGTCGCCAGGGTGAGGAGGAGTCACGGCAGCGTCGCTCTCGCCAGCCTGAGATGAGCGACCATGGCTGCATACACTTGAATAATTTCAAAGCAGCCAAGGGTATCCAGCCGTACAAAGTGATACACTCCTATTTTGTGACCAGCACGTCGGCCGAGGCACGCGTAAGGAAGGTACGACAATCTTTTTCTCTTTGTGACCCGTGCTCGAGATTCCGTCCTTGTCTCCTTCAGAAAGGCTTTCGCCTTCCGACCGTCTCGTACGCTCGTCGGTATCAAGTTCTTTGTCCCGTTTTTACAGTCTACGACAAACCCATTGATTTGGAATAGTTACGAATTTTGGTGACACCGGAGATCGCAGTCTCACAAATCGCAACATCATTCTCTCTCTCTGTCGTTTCTTCAGTCACAGGCTATGCAAATCTTAGGCAGAATGACAACCCGATACGTCAACGCGCGTAAATTGTTTATAGTTTTCCAAATGTTACTCACGAACTATTTTACAACATTATTTCATCAATACATTTACTCTTATTAAAAGACCCACGTCTGTTCCAATTTCTTTTCTGCAACTTCCTTTATCGCAATTCCACGACAGTAAACCATACTCGAAAGTGATTGATGCTTCTCGACTAACAGACAATAATAAATCAAGTAAATTGGTTGTACATCTTTTGAAACATCGTCGCCTCTTCACGTTTAACGCACGTCAATACATTTATTCTTATTAAAAATCCTACGTCTTTCCCAATCTCTTCGCTTGATCCTTCTTTTTATCTTATTCATTTCTTTAAATGTTTATCGTAATTCTATGACACTAAACAATACTCGAAAGTGATTGATGCTTCTCGATTAACGATTATTCTTACAATAATAAATTAAGTAAATTGCTTGTTCTTAATGTTTTTTTAAAGCATTCTTTACCTCTTCATATTTAATATACGTCAATAAATTTACTATACTCTTATTGAGAATTCCAATTTGTTTTTCGTCTTTCTATCCTATGAATTTCTTTAAATGTTTATCTCAATTCTATGACATTAAATAGTACTCAAAAGTAATTAGTGCTTCTCGGCTACTAGATAATAAGAAATTAAGCAAATTGGTTGTACATAATAACAAAAGTTGATAACGAGAGTATAATTTGAGTGCGTACTGTTAATTTCGTAAATGATTCCACTGTGAAGATGGATTTAAAAATGGCTACTATGTGCAATCACTCTGTCGGTACATTGTTCTGGCAGATTAGCTGCTGGCGTAATGTAACGGTATTGTAGATTTACGATTTTGATGATACCGTTGAATGATGTAATTTCTTTTTTGAATGTCGTTCCACGTACGAAATACATATACGCAATTATTTTCCAAAATAATTTATGTTATACAAAATATTCCATTTTTTAGATTTTTATTTAAAGTTCTGTATTCTTAGGGTGTTACGGTCTTGTACAGTTACGATTTTCATGATACCATTGAAATTACTCTTTCGTACATCATTCCACGTACGAAATAAATGTATGCAATCATTCCCTACAATAATATACAAAAACTATACAAAATATTTTAATCAATTTTAATAAATTCCTGTATTTTTAGGCTGTTAGCTGCTTATGTCATACGTGTAAAACCTACAAAGATCGTCTTCATTCTTGTCTCCACTGCATATTTTTCGGCTGCTACGTGAAAGGTCACATACAAGAGCATGCAAAGACGAAAAAACACTTCTTAGGTAAAACTCTTATTTTATATAAGATAAAATAATAAGCTCGAAGAATATATGTTTCCAATTGTATGTTGCAGCTGTTGATCTTTGTTATGGAAATATATTGTGCTTCCAATGCGGGGATTATGTATACGACAGAGAGCTATTGGCAGTCGCCAAGGCGCAGTGGAGTGAGTCTGCGAAGTCGTTGAGCTTTGGAGAATTTTATAGAGCATGGGAACCCACGCAGACAGAGGCCGAGTTATTGCGAAAACATCCGCGCAGAAGGCGTGTAGTCGAGAATTCGACGATAGGTAGAAATGATCTTCTACAATTGTGATTTCGGCAGGCACGCATTGATTCACTGCTTCGCACGCATGCTGCACTGAAATCGATTGCAATAGAGTCAGACTGCCGTATTGGGCAGTTTTGGTACAGCATTGACAATGAATCACTGAGTACCTGCCTAATTCAATTTAAGACTCGCGGACACGAGCTAAACTTCATATCATTTGTGTTTAAATTATTTTTCAGGTCTGAGAGGACTGATAAATCTTGGAAGTACATGTTTCATGAACTGCATCGTACAGGCGCTGATTCACACGCCGCTGTTGAGAGATTATTTCCTTGCTGACCGTCACCACTGCCCACAGCCGACGAGCTGCCTGGTCTGTGAAGTATCGCATCTTTTTCAGGAATTTTATTCCGGCAGTAAAGCCCCGTTGACGCTTCACAAGCTCCTACATTTGATCTGGACGCATGCCAGACATTTAGCAGGTTACGAACAGCAGGATGCCCACGAGTTCTTTATAGCCACCCTCGACGTTTTGCACAGGCACTGCGAGGCAGCGCCGATATTAGTCAAAGATAATCCACATCACTGTAACTGTATCATTGACCAAATCTTCACTGGCGGACTTCAAAGTGATGTGGTTTGTCAGGCGTGCAAGTATGAGCTAACTACAGGATAGAAAATTTATAGCTTGGGATAATGATACTCGATCCGTTTTTCATTGTATTTGTTCTCCCCATGGGGACACGAAAATAGTAGAGGTGTGCGATGACTTGAGAGTGTTAAGTCAAGTCGAGATGATATGAATCTTCAAAATGCGTTGTTCAAATTTTCCTTATAAGCCCCGATTAAAAAATTGAAAAAGTGACCTTTACTTTTCTCTTACAATTTCTATCAATTTACATTTTTTCGAAAGGTCCTCTAGACATCATTTAATAAACTAACTACTAAAAAAACACCAATCGCTTGATTCGACATTAAAAAAGTTATCCACCTTTAAAAGGTTTTTGTTTCAGTTTTATTTTATTATTTTCGTGTCTCGTCACTCTAAGGGAAACTAGCGCAATCAAAAATCGAGAGAATCGAAAATCGTTCTCCTAAACTGTATGCTGTTACAAAAACGGTTGTATTGATGTAATCAAATTTCAGCGGAGTATCCACAACGATAGATCCATTCTGGGATATATCATTGGATCTGGGTCCAGCGGCTAGCGCGTCCGGTTCCGATAGTTCTGGCCCTCCTACCTCATTATTAGATTGCCTAGAAAGATTCACGCGCGCCGAACATTTGGGATCGAGCGCGAAAATCAAGTGCAGCAACTGTCAAACGTATCAAGAAAGCACCAAACAACTGACTATGAAGCAGCTGCCTATCGTTGCCAGTTTTCACTTAAAACGATTCGAGCACTCCAGCATACAAGACAAGAAGATCTCTACGTTCATCTCGTTTCCAGAACAATTAGACATGACGCCTTTCATGTCGCACAGGAGGAACGGTAACAACAACAGCTCAATGATCGACGGGCTACCGAAGAACGGGGAAGACGCGGCGTTCAGCGATAACAGATATTCGCTGTTCGCCGTGATTAATCACGAAGGCTCGTTGGAGACCGGACACTACACTGCCTTCATACGGCAGCAGAGGGATCAATGGTTCAAATGCGACGACCATTTGATCACCAGGGCAAGATTAAAAGATGTTCTAACTAGCGAGGGGTAAGTTCATGGCAATGACTTGTTCAGTGTTGAGGTGTGCGAGAATCCGATCATCGGTGACGATTAATATTTGGGACGAAATTGGGATGGAACGGGACGGGTTCTCGGGGACAATTTCATTGTTATGCATAATAGTTTTTTTATTTACTGTATCGTCTGTTACATGCTGAAACATAAGTGAATTTATTCAAACTAATCCTGCAATTTTCGAGAATTTCGATCCCAAAGAAAAAACTCGTCCGATATTTACGGGTTCTCGTACACCTCTAGTTTCAGTGTCATCAGTATCATTAATAGTGACAAACCATTTCCTTTTCAGGTACCTTCTTTTTTATCATAAACAAATTTTGGAGTACGGTCGAAATACCAAGGTGTAAATCGATCTGATTGTGTAATTAATTTATTTATCACGACGAATCATGGGCGGTAGACTTAAGTTTTAGAAGAACAAAAAAAAAACTACGGTCAATTCCCTTTCGGGAAGTTGTTTCTTTCGTTCGACTCATCAGTCGGAATTACATACATGAACTATATAACATGAAATACCGAAGGCCTGAAAAAGAAGAAAAAAATGAAAAGAATTATCGTTTGATACGGTATTAATCGAAAGAATATTTACTTTCAATCAAATTAGAAATATTATTACGCTTTACTCGTGTGAAAAACGCTAGAAATTAATCACTGTTTATAAAAAGAGAGATAGTCACGATCGATCAGACGTCGCTCCGTTAGCGTAGATGTTTGTCAGTTTAAACTTAACGAAAAAGTGAAGATAAAACGTTTTACTTTGCTTTTTCTTTTCGACAAAATCTAAAGGTGGCTGTCGATCGATTTCCCTGTTCGTGTCCTAAAGTAAATTAAGCGTAGTTTTAAGATTAGCTCAATTTTTTTAAAATAACCGTTCGCATTTTTGTATATCGCTGACTGTTGTTATATTCCTGCCCTGACACTTGTATACACGATGCACAAAGGATGGCTCGCAAGACTCTAAATCTATTTTTCCTATTTCATAACTTATATTATTATTTTTTTTACTGATCAATTAATGAGGAATTTCGCCGTTAGCCATGATTCAGCGTCGTGTTAGCCATCCTTCGGTAAATCACTTTTGTACAAACGAAATAATATAGCAAACGAAAAGAAAGGAGGGATAATAGTATTATCCAATGAAGGCGAAGAATTACTTCGCGTGACTGTGTATAATAAAAGAAAATTTGACAAAATTTCCTTCTGGTTGCCCGTCTTACCTTTCGTAAATGCTACAGTACTCAGTTTAACACTAAACTGTAAGACCGTTTGGAAATTGTTTTATAAGGAATGAAATGAAAACTAAATTTGTTTGGTCATTTTGCTAGAGTTGTAATTATTACTTGAACTGGTGATTCAAGTATCATCATCGACACTAATTGTAAAAAATTGCACTGAAATAGAAAAGATATAAATATAGGGTGTTATCGTAGAAAAACTACTGGCAGGTTTAGTGTTAAAAGCGAAAGTGTTTCGAGAAGAGAATCGTGCGTAGAGCTTTCAATACTTTTCTGTACGACAGTCCCTGTAAAAAAAAGTGCCAAGTGTTCGTCGCACTTGTAGTTCGTATAATCGTGTGCTTATCGTTATTACAGTTCCCTATATTCTGATAGGTTTCGATTATTGTGTTCATTGAGAAAATCTCGCGTAATGTTTCTATGAAACGCTCAGGTAACGTTTGTTAAATAACGCCTGAGAGAGAAAGAGAGAATGATAATTTGTATCGTGTGAATCGATCAGTAAATGTTTTGATCAAGAATGATTCATCGGTACGTTTGAGTACGAGTATATACAATTGATGTTAAACAAGACCACTGAACTTCGACATGAAGGAAAGAAGTTTGACAGAAATCTGCGAGGAGGAAGGAGAGAAAATGAGAGTTGCAAAATTTCACTGATCAATTGCAACAACTGCACACTTGCCTGTGTGCCCATCCTCACGACGTGACACGACCAATAAATACGTTTAAACGTTCGTATTACGCGTGCATGCGTTTTGTATAAGGCTGAAGTGAACGTATACAGAAATAAAGTTATATTTCGTCGAGAAATCGTATTTTCTAACTTTATTCGCACTTTTGCACGCATTTATCGCCCTTATTCGAAGTTATCCTATCCTATCAACAGCGATTCTTATCAGATATGATGCAGTTAGGAGTACATCGTGTAAGTATAGAATATTTTACGCATCTTTGGAATAATTGTGTTGGAAATACACAAAAGTAACGAAAATTTACAGGGTGCCTCTTACATTTGACGCACTGTATTATTTTTAATAGTGAAACATGAGAAAGTTTCAAATATTCCATATAATTGTTGAGAAGTATTTTTTATTTTTTTTCTTGTTA